AGCTCTCTCTCACTGCATCAGGAAATCCATGCTGATGCACTCGTGCTGCAGAGAGAGTGCTACACTGTCAGAGGTACTGCCATTAACCTGTCTGCCTGCCTCAAGTAGGCAGAAATATCTCTCAGCACTGGAGGGTGATCTCCTGATGCTCTGTCTAATATTTATCCCTCAACTCAAAAACAATTCAACGTTATAGTGCCCATCTGTGGGATCTTGTGTACAAATTGACAACCATGTTTCCTACATTTCAGTATTGACGACATTCCAAAAGGCTGTGAAATATTTCAGCGTGTGTATCTACAAAATATATGGTCAGTGGTGCAACTTTGTTTGTTTTTAAATGAGAACAGAAGGCTTCAAAAACAACCACTTGTGGGGTGAGAGAATTCTGAATGCCTTTTTGAGGGTAAATAGTAAAAAAATTTCTCTACATGGCTCATTTATCAGTCAAGAGTGTTAGAGACGTGCAGTTAGTACACACAACATGAAGCGGGGAGGTTAGAAGATGATTTTCACTGCGGGAGTTTATAAGAACGTAGGTTGCTTTAACTGAACGAGGTTATTGAGTCAGATACTGAAATAACATTTAGAAAGCAATTGGAGTAGTATTTGAAAGGAGGATTGCAAAATGACACACAGTTAACAAGATTAGGCCTCCTGGCTCCTTTATGTAAAATTAAATCTTTTGTGGGATGTGGATATTACCTGTATTTATTGCTCTTTGCTAATTGCCCTTTGACCTAATTGACCTTTGACCATTTCAGAGGGCAGCTCAGAGTCATGTTGGGTCTGGAGTCCCAAGTAACCCAGACCAGATAAGGATGGCAGTTTTCCTGTACCCTAAAGGACATTAGTGAACCAAATGGTTGTCGACTATCGTTTGATGGTCACCATCATTGTGATAATACCTGGTGAATGAATAGAAATTAAATTCGATCAGATGTAGTGGTGGGATTGGAACACATGCCGCTGGAGGATTTGCATTGGACCTCTGGATTACTAGTCCAGTGTCATTACCGTGACACTACCATCTCCCCTCTCAGCAGGGGAATATCAGCTATGCTAACATAATCCACTGAGAGGTGATCCTTGTGTTATGATTGGACAGAGTTGTCCGACTGAATTCATGTCTGTTCCCTAAACAGTCAGCAGTAGACCAGCTGTTCGTGGTAAGTTTAAATACAGGTATGTTTGGCAATGAAAAGGTCAATTCTTGGGGTCAAAAATATAAAAGTCCCTGTGCTTTATCTCAATTAAATGATAATGGAGAAAGAAATAAGTTTGGCATAGAAAAAACAAAAATAAAACATTAACTGCAAAATATATCCTAGCAACATGTAAGGGTTTGAAATTGTCTTGTTTTCAGTAAGTAGAGCCCTGTTAAGTCTAAAAGTGGGCCCTGATAGATGTAGCTGCTTGCAAATGTCTTTACTGAAGAAATGCTGGCCTTAAATAAAGAAACAATCAGAAAGCAAATGAATTCCCAGTGCAGCGGGGAATGCAAGTTCTGCCTCAGAGAATTGAGGTTAATTGAAGGTGTGATGCAGTTTGGATTATACGAGAGTCTAACTTTGGATGGGATGTGTATACACTGAGCGTCCCCCAACCACCCGCACTCCTCCCCCCCAACAGCCCCGAATCTCATTGGACCTTGCTTGCATGTAGTGATGTATATCAATAAGTGCAGGAATTTTCAGTCAATATCTGGGTAAAAGTTCAAGCTGACTTGGGACAAAATAATTCCACCTCCCTCCACGTTTTTCCCTCTGCGGGGAGAATTCCACGGATGCTTTAAACCCATTGAACCGTGAAGAGCAAGATTTTCAGTGCCACGTGCTGCTCAAATAGTTCTTTAATCCAGTCATTTTTTTTGTGTGATTTCAGTGCGAAACGACACACCTCTAAGTCCCCCTTACAAGCGCTGCCTGACTCCTCAGAAAAGTGCAGCACTCTGTCTTCTGGGGAACGCTTTGAAACATTGCCACAGCTCTGGAACTCCCTCTGGTTACTGATGTGTTTGAGGGACCCCCAGTGTCAACCCTTTATGTAAATCCTGACGCTGTAAATATGTCTCTAAATATGGACACCAAGACAAGACCAGGTTGGGATTTGTTCTGGACCAGGCCAGATCCCTTCAAAATATTTTAAAAAGGTAGCCAAGACCCTAACTTCTTACATTTGCCTTTAAAATAAGAAAGTGTCTGTTCTAGATGCAATAGGAATGGTCAAACTTCTAGACACTGAGAAAACACAATTTATTTAAACACTGTAGTTAAAACACAACCAAAGAAAGAGGAATTCAGAAAACAACTTATCTCTTTTAGAAAACTTAACCAAATAATATATGCAGTAAATATTACTAATTAACTGTTCCAATGTAGTAACATCCCATAAACACACCCCCTTGGCCAAAAGGAAAATTCAGACACAAATTCTCACATGCGGTTTTCTCACCCAGGAGAGAAAAAAAAAACTTCGAGAAAATTCAGAGAGAGTAGTAGCAAGGAAACATTCACCAAAGCTTCCAACTCTGTTGAGACCCAACAGTTTCTGATGCTATTCAGAAATCCTGATCTGTAAGAGCTGGCCACACACTTTTGAGGCTGTATTTTTAAAAAAAAACGCCAAGGCCTCTCAAGCTGTTTATACAAGTGGTCTTCAGTAGCTAGCTCCGTGCCTCTGCCTTGCAACCTCCCTCTGAAAGAAAAACCAGAACAAAATAACCTCTTGAAGTGACAGCACTGTTACAGATTGTATACTGACCTTGCTCAGTGTTGAGCCCCAGTCTTGGCACACCCTGATTCCCCCTCGGAGATTTTCATGCCACAGCCTGGCATGGGGACAGGTAGTTGCAGAATGTGAATCTCTAGAAGAGTGTGATAGGCAAAGGAGGAGGAAGGGTTAGCAGACTCCTAACAGAGTCTTTCTGCTGATGAAATGTGTACAACACATCATAACGAACACCTCCTTCCAGGCTCACTGGACCACGTCACTTCTTGAGCAAGGGACCACAGAGATGGCCTCGTCCATTGCAGCCTCACCACCTAGTGTTGCCTCCTGAGCCGATCACCACTGTTTCCAATCAAGCATCAGCCTGGCCCCCAAACACTGGAGGGGGTTGCAAGGGGGGCGTGGGGGGACCATCTCAAAGATCCCCATCCACAAGGTGGTTCTCACTCACTCACTCACTCACCTCACTGTCAACTTCCAGCAGCAGTAGAATGCCCATAGCACCTGGTCGACTCTTAAAATCCGCCACTTGGACCAACTGTGTAGTGGTCCCTGCTCTCTCTTCCAGCAAACATGGCGATCGAGTTGGTACGCGATCTTGAATGCAAGATCACAGCTTTGATAGTAATGTGGTGACTGATGCACCAAACCCCCCCAACCCATTCCCTACGACCAGCAAGTGACTCCCTGTACTGAGCACGTAGCAGTTCATTAAGAGTTGACGGGCAGTGCAATGGTGAGTTTTTTTTTTCCACCCAATCATGCACTCCGAGGTCAGTGAGAGGCCAGCAGCCTCTGGGTCCCCATGACTGCTGGCTGAGGCCTACTCTGGAGGAGAGCCAAAGGTGAGAAAGTAAGTTGGGTCTTTTCTCCCCCTCCTTTTCTCGAGGTGGGGACCACATGGTGAGGGGGCTGTAGGGGCAGAGATGAGGACAGGGTTGTGGCTTTCAGAACTCACTCCACTTTACCCACTGTCCATGCCTCTGACCCAGATTGAGACTACTGTGTCCGAGCCAACACTCGGTCAGCAGGTCACCCTGGTTTCAGGAAGCCAACCACTCTATTTACTGACTGAGAAGGCAGGTAATCAGGCCAATGGCATGTCAAGGCCCTTAAGTGGTCATTAATTGACCATTTTAAGGGCCTTAATTGCTGACCAGTCAAGACAGTCTCCCGTAGACTTCATCCATTAATCCCCCTTGTCATCTTCAGTGCATCAATTTATCTCCTCAGACTTCCATTTGTATGTCCTCAACTATTCCTTAATACCCTGTCCATCTCAGCCTTGCTACTACTCTCTGGTCCAAAGTAAGGGAGAAGCCATTCAAAAGTTGAAGCAACAAGGCCTGTGGATGTATATGGATTCTGTAGTGAAATTCTGGAACACAACGGAGGGACGCACTTCTGGCTCATCCACACAATCTCATAATCTCCCTTTGGGAAGGTGAATGCTTGCTGGCAGCTCCCAGGGGTGCTACGGTCATGACTATAATCAAGACGGGAGACCAGTCCAATTGCAGCAACAACAGCAGGAGTTGTTCCTCTGTTCTCTGAAAGATTGTTGAACAGATTCTCTTCAACTGCCTCTCCCCTGTGGCCAAGGAACTCCTTCTGGAGTATTGGCACCCATTGAGACACATCTCCAACGTGCTCTTGCTGCAGAATGGTGCAGGGAGCGGGCACCAAGTACTCTACATAGTCCTCCTTTGATCACACGAAAGCCTTTGTTGTTGTCAACAGCAAGGAATTGTGAAATAGCCCCCTCAGAAATTCTTCACCATCCTCTACCTCCTCTATGATGACATGCAATCAGCAATGTTCACCAATGGAACCACAATGCACCCTAGCTTGCCAAACAATGGGTGGCACGATGGCTCAATGGTTAGCACTGCTGCCTTACGGCACCAGGGAAGTGAGTTCAATTCCAGCCTCATCCAGGTGAAGTTTGCACACTCTTCCTGTGTCTGCATGGGTTTCCTCCAGGTGCTCCAGTTCCCTCCCACAGTCCAAGGATGTGCAGGTTAGATGGACTGGCCATGCTAAATTGTCCACAGTGCCCAGGGATGTGCAGGGTAGGTGGGTTAGCCATGGGAAATACAAGGTTACAGGGATGGGGTAGGTTTGGGTGGGATTCTCTTCAGAGGTTTGGTGTAGACTCAGTGTGCCGAATGGCATGCTTCCACACTGTAGGGGTTCTGTGATTCTATGAAACAAGTCCATGTCACTGTCTTCTCCATTTTCATCACTGTAATCCTGCACTTCACCTCCAGCAGATTAAGACAATCTACAGAGTGGATGGGAAACTGGTCACCAACCTGTCCTCCAGCCAACAGTAAAGCCACTCCAATGTGCAGGTGACCCTCGTGTGCATCCTCACTCAGAAACTGAGCTCTGGGTCGTGTGTCAGCTCCTACTTTTCCAAGATGGAAAGTGAAGTGCTCTTCCACCAGCTCCCGCAACACAGCACCACATCCTTCATCAAAATAGGACCAACTGCAAGATCCTGGAAACAGGAAATCATTTTCCAAAGCTGCTCTTCTCAACAGATGATGAAACTCAGCACTGCCTCCTACCTGTCTGAGCTGCCTTTATCAAATGGAGAGGAAGAATATTTGAAGATTGGGATCTTAAACCAGGATCGAGGTTGTAGTTTACTGGACAGCAGTGATCCCTGTGCTCCTGAATGCTATGGAGACTTGGGCAACTTAGAGTGGCTCTTCAAAACAATGGAGAAGCACCGTCCTGCTGCTTTTGCAAGATTCACCCAGTCTATCAGTGAGAAAGACGTTCTGAAAGCAGTCTCCTTGTCATCCAAAGAGTGTTGGCTTTCTTTGCTTCCCTTATCTTTCCCTCTTGTGGGAAGACACACAGCTTCTACCTGAGGCATATCCTGTTTAAAGATCACCTCTGGTTCTGTTCCAGATTTTTCTCAGGATCTTTGGTTCCATTTTACCACTGAAATTAAACTTCTTTCAATTTACATGTTTATGTTAGACTGTATGTTGCTTTTTAAGGGAAGATTTAACCAAAGGGGAATGCTGCTATCTTTACAGAGAACTTATTCTGTTAGCATGCAGCAATAAACGTGGGGTTATGTTAACAATAACAGGGATAATAAACAGCTATGTGATATGGTTGTTAAGCACCTGATGGGCTGAATGGCCTATTTCTGCTTCCAAGCAATTCTGCCCCTCTGTAAACTAATAAAACACCTCAAAGTGTTTCACGGGAACCATAAGGTATTGGGTTTGGAGGAGTATCTTAAAGAGGAAGGTAAATTAGAGAAGACATGAGGTACAGGGACGGTATTCCAGCTTCTGAGGTGAGGCAAAGTCACCAACAGTGGAGCAATTAAAATCTGGGTTGATGAAGGGGCTAGAATTCAATAAATGGAAATATCTCTGAATCTGGTGGAGACAGAGGACATGACAGGGATAAAGAAGGCGCGGCAATGGCCAGATTTGAAAACCAGGGTAAGAAGTTTAATGTTGATGGGTTGTTGAACTGACAGTCTATTGAGATCAGCAAGATGATGGGTGGTTGAGATGTGATGTGAGGTGAGTCATGAGCAGCAGAGTTTACAGAAGGCAGAATGTGGGGAGATCACCAGGACCATATTGAAATGGTCGAGTGTACAGACAACAGAGGCACAAATGAGGGTTTCAGCAGCAGGTGTGCCCAAGATGGACAAAATCATGAGGTATTACATCAGGAGCTAGGGAACAAGTACATAATATAAACAGTTTGAGAGTAAACTGGGAGTGCTGTCCTCGGACAAACAGAAGTCTGGCAGATGCCTTGGAATTCCCTAGAGAACCCCAATTTGAAAGCGTCTGGTTTCACAACCTGCCGTGTATCGAGAAAGATGATTTCGCTTTCCAGTAACGGCTAGGGCGCAGCGTGCCCTGGAAGCTGCCCACTGTGTAGCTGCTTGGAGGTTCCACACATATCCATCGTCACGCCCACACGTTTCCTCCTGCCTCTGGAAGCTGCTGTGTATGATCCTTGGAAGTTCCTGCAGCAGAGCAGTCATCCTTACCTGGTCTGGCTGACATGTGACCCCAGACCCACAGCAGTTGACTCTTGACTGCCCTCTGGGCAATAAATACTTGCATTGCCAGCAACACCCTCATCCTGTGAAATAATTTTAAAAATGGAAAGATTAATTACAGGGAACATTCTGACCAGATGGTCGGCAGGTTTATGGCTCCCCAAGTAGTTTAATTATTCTATGCTGTCACACTTAATTTTTCAGTTTTATGCTTCAGCAGAGATACTTGGGCATTGATAAAATGATCACAGTTTGCTGGTGCCACGACCCTTTGTATATGAATTGTGCCGCATTGAGTTCCCTTTGTATTTCAGTTAAACACCCAGACTGAAGTCCCATCTTCGAATTCATGGCTCATGTTCTGAGGAAGGGTCACCGGACCCGAAACGTTAACTCTGATTTCTCTTCACACGTGCTGCCAGACCTGCTGAACTTTTCCAGCAATTTCTGTTTTTGTTTCTGATTTACGACATTCACAGTTTTTTTCGGTTTTTAAGGCTCCTATGTTTCCCTCACTTGTGCTAAATGCCAGTGACATTGGAAATTGTGGTTTTCTAACCTTAGGCCTTGATTTTTGATGAAATATGCAAACAGATTTTCCTGGGCACACCACGCATTGAATCGGGGAGACAATACTTGGCATTGTGGAAAATTGATTCTAATCTCTTTCTTTTAATTCTTTCACTGGATTTTGTTGAGGAGGGCTGAATCCGATGAGAGAATATTCAAATGAAGATGTTATTTCACTGGGAGCCAACATAGGTCAGTGAAAATGATAGCTAGGGAATTGAATCAGAGATAGTAGGAACTGCAGATGCTGGAGAATCCGAGACAACAAGGTGCAGGGCTGGATGAACACAACAGGCCAAGCAGCATCATAGGAGCAGAGAGGCTGATGTTTCGGGCCTAGACCCTTCATCAGAAAAGGGGGAGGGGAAGGGGGTTTTGAAATAAATAGGGAGAGAGTGGGAGGCGGATAGAAGAGGGATAGAGGAGAGGATAGGTGGAGAGGAAACAAACAGGTCGAAGAGGCGGGGATGGAGCCAGTAAAGGTGAGTGTAGGTAGGGAGTTAGGAAGGGGATAGGTCAGTCCAGGGAGGACGGACAGGTCAAGGGGGCGGGATGAGGTTGGTCGGTAGGAGATGGAGGTGCGGCTTGAGGTGGGAGGAGGGGATAGGTGGGAGGAAGAACAGGTTAGGGAGGCAGGGACGAGCTGGACTGGTTTTGGGATGCGGTAGGGGGAGGGGAGATTTTGAAACTTGTGAAATCCACATTGATACCATTGGGCTGCAGGGTTCCCAAGCGGAATATGAGTTGCTGTTCCTGCAACCTTCGGGTGGCATCGTTGTGGCACTGCAGGAGGCCCAGGATGGACATGTCGTCTGAGGAATGGGAGGGGGAGTTGAAATGGTTCGCGACTGGGAGGTGCAGTTGTTTATTGCGAACCGAGCGTAGGTGTTCTGCAAAGCGGAATTGAGTTCATCATGGGGACCAAAGACAATGATTTCAGTCCTTTTAATATTTAATTGGGGGAAGTTTTTACTCATCTGGTACCAGATTTCAAATTAAGAGTGTGATAATCTAGTAACAGTGGGGCTATAGAGAGAGTGGAGCAGAGCTGGGTGGAACAGCGTGTAGGTAAGAAATAGGAGGGACACCTCAGAGTTGTGGAGTGGGAAGAGAATTAACAGAATGAATATAATTAATCTCCAGTGACATAGCTTAGAGGAAAAATGTGTTGCAAGTGTCTCTGTTTCATTCTCATGAATATTCTTGAAGTAAATCACTTTATTCTCTTATAGTTGTTTTCTCATTATGATGTCTGTAGCACAGGATTCAGACTGTGAGGGGGAGGCAGATTGTGTCACAGAATAGGGGAAGGACTCTTTAAATATGACTTCAAGACCAGAAATCTTCTAGAACTTTCCTCAGTTGCATCCGAAAACCAGTGACCAGATCCAGAACCATCTATGTATTTTCTGGGATTGTTGACTTAGTTTTAATCTGTTTATCATTTTATGAATTAGGTTTTCAGATCAGCCTGTGAGGTCAAGGGAACTTGACAAAATCAAAAAGCATTCTGTATTATATTGCCATGTTTGTAGTTTGTAGCCATCATCTAGGTCATTTTTCCAGGACACGTCTGCAAGAATATCTTTCTATCTTCATAATGTCTACGATAGCCCAGTGCTCATTGGAATCTGTCACTGATGGACAAGCCTTGACTTGGCAATGAATTCTGTTTGCAAAACAAAAGGTGCAGTTAACAATCACTTGCTGTTAACATAGTGAAACATCCCAAAGGCTTCATAGATGCATTGAAAATGAATGAAAAACCAACAAGGGGCAGCCAAAGGCTTAAAATTAAGAAGAGAGAAGCAGAGGCATTTCGATAGATCTATAGAACATGAGGCCCGGGCAGTGGAAAGTCTGGCTTCTATTTGTGACAGAGATTCAGAAAGCGAGAGTTGTAAGGATAGGGAGAAAGTGAGGACATAAAAGGACTTAAATACACTTTTACGTTTGAATGCAAAGGTGACGATTCTGTGAAGGAACTTAGGACTCCTCACCCCAGATTGGCACCTTATTCCGAGGGACTCATTCACCATCCCTGACCCCCATCAGTCTTTGACATTTCAGATTGTGGGCTTTTCTTGTGTTTTTCTGGCTGTTGTGATCCAGATAAAGGCCCAGAGTGGATGAAGTCTCAAAAACTAAGTGACACAATTTAATTAACAAGTAGTGATGAGCTACTGCTGAACTGGACATCTGATGTTTGTGCCTTCATATTCACTCTTTTTTTCTGTCTACATTTAGTTTTCACTTGCTCTGTTTTCTAAAACTGCTTGGGAGCAATTCACCTGTTAGTGACACTTAACTCAAGTTTCAGTGAATGCTGTCACTGTGAATCGACCATTGTCTAAATTTGGCCACTGGAGTGAGTTAAAGACTATTTTGCAGTCTACAATTTTTGTTTCATGGATTCGCAAAACATTGCACAAAGTGACCAACGGTGCAATGTTTGAACTTTGTGCAGCAGCTGCACAGACTGGTATCTGGTACAAGCTGACACTGTAGATAGTGTGCACGGACTGGAGATACAGCTTGCTCCCCTAGGACACTATGTAATGATCACTTGTGGTTGCACAGTAACCAATGTTCTCCTTATCAAAGCACCCTTATCTTGTTTGCAGTGAAGCAGACCCCTGTCGTACTTGTGTGAATGGGACTATACAGTTTGTACTGACTTCCACGTTATTTCTCTTGAGCTAATTGATGCACTTGAGCGGAGGGGAGGGAGGAGAGTAAATGTCATTCCTGTTTTCAGTCAAGTAGCTAGAGCTGCAGTTCTCAAGGTTGCCCAGCACAGGATGAGGACAAATACCAAACATCAATTGAAAACAGATTAACCTGGGGATGTCTGTGAGGGAATTGCTGTGCACAAATTGGGTGCATCATTTCAGTACTCATTAAAGGACTCTTTGCTTTTTTGAGTGTTTCATGAGAAGGTGCTATACCAATGCAAGTGTTGTTTCTCACAGCTCAAAGTGTTAAAAAGGAAGTCT